TTTGTATAATATGGAAATAAGTATAAACAATCTGAAATATTACTTTCTATCTCAGATACATTTATCGAAAGCGACTGGAAGTGATATGAATCTTAGTCTCTATCGAGCAGAAATATCTGCGTATCATTTTGTAGATTGAGTTTATCTATATTTCCTAGCGGTGATGGATATGTGCAGTTGATTATCCATTAAAATACTATAGATACTCACGAATACGATTAAAATCGACATGGCTTGGGCCGAATACTTGAATTAAAGCGGTTCCTGTTATATTCGGAGAAGATGTCGTCATAACGAAAACGTATATTATGTTGGCATGAAGTGCTGCTTCAAGTTTAAATTGATTTCGATTATGGGAGTCTTCATTACAAATGAGTATATTGTTGGACACATTGAATGGATTAAAGTTGTTTGTGTAGATACAAGCATACGTAGTTTTCATCTTGCTGTTGATTAGAAAAGTATAATATCCAGTTATAGTGACGCTCATTTGTACCGCTTCATAATACGAATCTAACTCTGAACAATCTTTGAAATAAGTCGAACTATTCGAAGTCAGTGATAATGAATACATTGTTTCTATAGCTGATGAATTATCTATTGAATGGAAAAAAAATCAATAAGTATTTGCATTTTGAATAAAGAAAGGAAATGATTGTGCATATTCTTGGTTTGCTTTTCACTGTTTACTAATGATAGTTGAATCGTTTGTTTTAGAACAATGCTTTCAATAGAGAAATGAAATAAAATATCTATTTAGTGTTCTTACAATAAGTATTGATGTTAGCCCTTAAAATCCGTATGTTCTTTCCAAGAGACGTTGTAATAATTACAATAAAGAAATATTATAAAATCTCGTATACAAAAACAAGTACCATTCAGGACTAAAAAACTCTGGTAAGTCATAGACTTCTAAATTTATGACTTCTTCATTATCATCTTTATCTTTGAAATTTTCTTCTTTCAAAAATATAATGCAGAACATTAGTTTTTTGTTGATAACACTAAGCATAACAATAAACTATCTCACAAAAACATTTCATAAAGTTCTGGTCAATGTAAGAGTAAGACATGACAGTGACATTCAATCTTAACAAATCAAAATACTCGCTTATTTGATCTATTGTTAAAATATTACAAGAGCGACTCTTTAATTATTTTTTATTTTCATAAAGCGTGTCTTGAATAACCAGGCGAGAATGGAGCTTTTTTCTTCTTCTCGTTGTTGGGTATTTTTCTGTGAAGACACCGACCTACATTTAAGTTTCACTCTTTTGTAATAGGCCTGATTTTATTCTCGTTCGTCAATCAAAATCATCACCGCAAATGTAACATAATCGTTTTTTCATCTCGAGAGTAAAGGTGACATTCTGAATGTCTATGATTGCGCCATGAGTTGTAGTTAACACTCAAGCATAGGGTTATTTCTTACTAACAGATGTATTATATCTACGAATTTGAAAGCACATTGAACAACTATGCAAAACGATTTTTTGTTGATTTTAAAGCAGTTTGCGAAATATTTTTGGTTCTAAAATATAAAAATTTGACGCGAGAAAATTTTTCTTCACAACGATATTTACTTGAAAGTGTTTTTAAATCGATAAAGATTTGATGAATTTTGATGAAAACTTTACTTCTTATGAGTGTTTTACGTTTCATATAATCATTGTGTTCATTATTTCCTACAGTTAGCAGCGGTAAGTAAGCATAGGTAATAGCGAATCAAAGCAAACTTGTGAATGAAGTTCAATGAAGATCTACATCATGCAACTAACATGACAAAAATGTTATCGACTGGCTTTTGTAAAGAATTATTAAAAAAACAAGATTTTCATTTTATAATAATAGTCCATTAGGATGACACTTGAATTTTGAGTTTAACTATTGAATAATTGAATTCGAAATCCATCAGGAATTTCATTTTTATCTTTATCTTTCAGAGTAATTTTTATTTTTTATTTTCCCTGAATAAATATTGATTGAATTGATACAAAAGATTTTACTCGATCATTCTCAACTTACCACATGATTCTTCGACATATTGAAATTTTTGAATTCGATGATTTGCATAATCGGTAACAAACATGTTTCCATAACGATCGAAATTCAAACTAGTTGGATGATTCAATTGATTGGATTGTGAACCCTCTCCATAACAACCAACTAAACATCGAAAACCATTCAAGCCTGAACCAACAATTCGATGATTATTCTGATCTACAATGAATAGATATTTCTCAGCATCTAATATAACTCCAGTTGGTTGATGGAGTATAATTGTTGGATTTAGTGAAGTAATTCCAGCTACTGTGATGCCATTTGATTCTCCTGACTGGAATAACTGAACTCGATAATTGTGCCAATCTGCTACATATAAATCAAAATTTATATCGACAAAGATTCCACGAGGACCTCCGAGTTGATTCGAGGCTGATCCTTCAATACCTGTGCCGGCAGCAACACGATTTGAAATAATCAGAGGATCATTTAATGATCTTTTCACTACTTGGTGATGATCAAGCATTGAACAGTAAAGAGTGTCATTCATATCGACAAACAAACCCCAACATGATGAGTCGACATTCATCACCGTGACAAAAGTATTTGTTTCTGCACTCCATTTCTGTACTTGATGATTATAATAACTATCATCAATATAGATATCACCATTCGATGTCACGAAGAGAAAACTGGACCCTGCAAAATCACCATGAATGATCTTTGTTGGATTGATACTTCCTTCTTGCCATATTACAATTGCGTTGCTTTCTGGATTAGCAACATAAATTGTATTGTTTGTGTTCACAAAAATGGCGGCAGGATATTGACCAACAACTGATTGATCGGCAAAAGTAATTCCATTGAAATTCCAAATGGCTGTTGGACAAAACTTTGGTTGATTGAATGAAAGAGCTAAAAAACGAGAAAAATATAAAAAATATTAGACAAGAACAGTAAACAAAATGAAATTGTTAACTTATATTTTATCATAGAAAAATCCATCGGGATTAATTTTGAAAAGATTTCTATGATTGTTTTGTATTTTCTCAGATGATTTGTAAATATCAACTAAGAGAGAGCTGTACTCATCGAAGAAGATCAACTTTATCTATCGATTTTTTTTATATTGTAAATGAAAAATAATTATGTTCGATCTTTGAAAAGATTTGATTTTCATTGAAAACAAAAAAAGATTCTTTCCTTTTATACAGTTCAAAAGTTTTAAATTTTTTTCATTATTATAAGAGTAAATAATATCTTGAGGATGTGGGTGGAAGTGTGGGTAACAGTAAAGAGGATAGTACGCGCACTCATCACGCCGACACTCTCACCTACACCCACCCACGCTCGCGCGCATCCTCACAACCGAGCCCTGGCCGATTCTGAGTCCTGACCGAGCCCAAGCCCGTGCTCCAGAGTTTCGGTCAGGACTCGGGCTCAGTACATCCCTAAATAGTATAGATTTTGAAAATAGTTCTAGATACAAAAACCAAAAGCTTCACCATGGTTTTTACTATGAAATAACATACTATGTCTAGAAACAACCGGTCAATCTATTTGGTGTTTTTGAAATGAACGATTCAAAGATTTTTACAATGTGACACACATATAACTCATATTTCATAACTGTTAGTTATGACAATATTTTATAGTTTCAACAGAGTTTAATAATAAAATGAATCACTGTAGAGAGACACATTTTCTGAATGATTTAGATTGAAGTCTAGAAAAGATGAGAACGGTCACTTTTGAATATCTAAAGAAAATTCTTGACAAATTCTATAATCTATTATTTGACTCCCTTTTGTACAATAGCTGATCTTCAGTATGTGATAAATAAAAGTATTTACCTGATATTTCATTGCTGAGAATGAACAGAAGAATAATGATAAATATGTAGATATTCCTCATCATTCAACAAGAGTTTTTCTTTGATAAACTAGTTAAATAATAAAATAATCGTTTTCTTCTTTGTCTTCGATGAAAACAAAATGATACTTGTTGTAGATTTTCTCTCTAGTTATATATCTCTCTCTTTCTCTCTCATTAATTTCTTTCAAAATAAAACAAAGAGAAAAAATAGTATTCCAGAGAAATTTCGTCATAAGTAAGATAAAAAATTGATTTTAGATTGGATTAACGAACAAAACTCATGATTTTATTTGATTCTTTTCAAAATTCAAAAAAACAGAATGGGATTTAAATTCGACATGATCCTTTTCTTCTTTTTTTAATTTTAAAGAAAATCTTCAATTTTAGCGAAGAACGTGATGAAGAGAAGGGAGAGAACTGATGACAATCTAGATTAATCATCGGACGTGTTTTAACTGAAAATAAGATATCAACTATCATCGTCAATAAATGATTGACGTCAATGAATAAGTCATGATTAGTTTGATGTCATTTTTTATTTGACTCTGTTAAATAATCTGCTTTGTCAGGACTCACTTTTAATCACGTTCTTTATTTCTCTACGCGCAATAAGTATCTATGAGAAAAGATTCCTTTGTTTGAATATTTCAATCTGTTTTCGAATAAAAACTTATCATACATATACAAAGCAGAAGTGTCCATCACGATACGAGAGATTTTTCTAAGAGACATGGAAAAGATGCATGAATGCAACTCTAAATTGAATACTAACAAAGACAACATTCTGATAATGGACAAATCTTATCAATTAGTATAAAAAGTTCTATTCAAACATAATCACAGTCGTGAAACACAGATTAATAATCTGATATTATTCACAATCTGTCCGCACCGAGTTTTCAAGCACGATGGACATCTCTGATTCAAATTAATGTTTCAACCAGAGATAAGAAACGTGTCGGTGTTGTGAGTAAGCCAAAAGGAAATGATCATTCTCATAGCCTCACATAAATCTTCATCCTAAAAATTCACAGAATACACCTGAAGACCTTCCTTTGTTAGAGATAAAGCAAATAATTTCAATGTTAACAACCATTCATTAAGGTTTTATCAATTTTATTAAAAGATTCTTCGACCGAATAAATGCAATCGATGTTTTCAAAAACAAAATAAAAATAATGTGAGTCAATCTTTGTGAATCGATATTGATAAAAGACTCTCTAATACAAAAAAATGTAACAAATACTTCGTCAATATTATCGAAATGCAAAAAAAAAGAATCATTTTTTTTCGACTTATTAATATTCTTTTTTAGTATTGAGGTCATAAGAAACTAAAGTAAATATGTACTTATTTAATAATCAATGACGTTTTTTTCATATCACAATAACAAAAGAAAGATAGAAAGTACTCATTTGTCATATATTTGTCCTTGACAAAATATTGCATTATAATATAGAAATATTGACTTCTCTTCTTTCAGCGTTTGATTTTTGTATAAAATCTTGAGAGATACAAAATAACATATCAATAACTTCTAAGGTAGTACACAGCATCTATGGACAATAAAAAAAAGAAAAGCGGAATCCAAATATTTTTCGATTGTGCTCAACTTGTAATTGCATTATTTATTCCATTGGCTATAATTGCTTATACTGTCATGCAAAATAATACTGAGATATCAATTGCACAAGAAAATCGCAAACAAGATTTGAAAATAGCTGATGAACGTCATGAACAAGAAATTATCTTATCCACAGACGAACAAGAAGAAGCAGCTTTGGTTCGTTATTTTGATTCATTAGGTAAATTATTAGAAAAGGATATGAAACTAATGAATCGAACTAGTATTGCTCGATTTAAGACATTAACAGCTTTGGCACAATTGAAATCAAAACGAAAAGGTTATCTTATTCGAGCATTAATCGAGAATAAATTAATTACTATGAATTATGGTGAAGATTTAATTATCGATTTATCTTTGGCTGATTTAACAGGTCTTGATTTAAGCACGAATATGCTTGTAAAAAAGGAAATAACGTGTGCTAACTTCAATCAAACCACATTAATAAATGCATCCTTTCGAGGCGTGACATTAACTGGTATAACATTTGCACAGTCTATTTTGATCAATAGTGATTTCTCCTTGTCTTCTGCTAATATGTATTCGTGTGGTGACAGCACTAGCTTTCGTACTAATTTTATGGATACGATTTTGGATAATTCTACTTTTGATGGTGCAAAACACATAAAAAGCTCATTCGATAAATCTTCACTCAATCATGTTCGAATGCGCCGGTTCAAATGTACTGATTGTATATTTACAAAAGCAAAAATGTACTCAGCAGATCTAAGTGATGCTACGTTTCAATCGGAGTTGGGTTCAAGATCAAGATTTTACTATCAGAAGATGCGTATATTCTCTACTCTTCTATACAGAGCTAAATTCTTCAATATAAACTTTGCTCAGACGGAACTAACAATGGTAAACGCAACAATGGCAACCTTCAATAATTGTGATTTTTCAGTGACTGTGTTCAAGAACAATTCTTTCATTCAAACCACCATTTACAATTCACCTTTTTTTCGAGCTTCTTTAAAACAATCATCATGGTATAAAGCAAAGATTAGTTATACTTCTTTCTTCGAGACTGATATGACCGATATTAATTTTATCGATAGTGAATGTCATTATTGTCACTTTAATCAGACTCTATTAAAAGGTGCAAACTTTACAAATTCATCACTTGATGGAAGTGATTTTAGCCAAGCTAATATTACTTATCAAGAATTAATCGTTGCTCGATCTCTTCAAAATGTTATTTTACCTAATGGAACTATTTTTCAATAAACATAAAATAAACACTTATTTCTGTTCAAATATTATTATTTGTAATTTATCTTACAGAATTTTGTCAAAATATATTTTAATTTTAATTGAAACTTTTTGTATTCTTGAGGGTGTGGGAGGGTTTTTCTTGTTATATCCACACTCACGCCCCTTTTACCTCTGTCAAATTCAAAGATAGAGAGATACAGAATATAGGTGAATTTCAAGAATGACATCGAAGCGATGAATCTAAAGAAACTAATTTTATTAAAATTATTTTTAGAAACTAGCTTGTTTAATAATCTACAAAGTTTAATTAAAAAACCATGCTTCAAATATACCCACCCGGAGAGACATGTTTCTTTTCAGAAAATTACTTCTTTCTCTTGCCAAGATGAAACAGATTTCACATCATTACAATTTATTTTTTTTATGGAGTTCTGTAGATAAATACGCAAATTACTTTTTAATAACTGATATTATGATGTAAATTTCTAAAATACAAGTCAAGTTTATATGAAGATGTTCAGCTTATTTCTAAAAATTAATATTCTTCTTATAAGAGAATTTCCTCTCTGGTAGGCAAGCTTAAAAAAGAAATTTTTTGAAGAACGGCCTAACGAAGCGTGAATACTCACAGACAAGATTTAATGAAAAAGCAGATTCCTGACGTAGCGATGATTATAAAAATAACTATCAAAATTACATTTTTTATCTTCACAACTATTGCCGACGCACAAACAAGTCTAATTATATATGAGAAGAATATCATCGCAAGATTTTTTTATTTAATTTCTCTTTTCTCTTTGTATACTCAGTAATTATAATACTTCAGTTTATTCTCTTTATTATATATTAAACCATGTATTTTACATTTAAATTTATTATAATGTTGTGCTTCGAAATTATAGCAATTTTTTTATCACTTATAATTTTTGGTTATTTCATTAAGAATCGTCAAGCACGTTTAAAAATAAAAAATCACGGATGGCTTGTTTTACTAAGTTCTAATTTCATTCAGCTGGTTTTTGATTTACCAATGCCAATGAGTTATTATTACATAGGAAGTGTTTGGCCTGTATCAAATATATATTGTATGTGGTGGATCTGGATTGAATACTCACTGAATAGCATCGGCTTATTTCTAATGGCATGGATATCAATCGAACGATATATACTTATTTTCTATCCGCATGCAATATCTCAATTATCATGGAAAAAATGGGTATTTCATTTTTTACCGATTAGTTTTTGTCTAAGTTGGGCGCCCATCTTTTTCTTTGTGATCGTTGTTATTAGTCCACTATGTGTCAATGTATGGGACTTTACTCTTCTTTATTGTGGTAATCCATGTTATTACACAGTAAATATTCTTGTTCAATTTGATTTTAGCTTTGACATTGTTTTTCCGATTACTATCATTATGGTTGCGAATATGATATTAGTTATTCGAGTGACTTATCAAAAGATATCTCGAAGGCAAGCAATAAATTGGAGAAGTCATCGGAAAATGGTTTTGCAATTATGGATTGTCTCATCATTCTATCTAGCATTTTGGTTACCTTCTACGATAACTTTATTGATTCAAATGACTGCATTACCCTCGTTTATGATCGATCAATTAGAGGCAATGCTGTTTCTTATCGATCTCATTCCACTTTTCTTACCAATGGTATGTCTGAGTACACTTCCTGATTTAACTAAGAAACTAATTGGAATTGTTTCAAAACGAAGAAATGTCATTGGTGCTGTTACTTTCAAACGTGATATGGCACAAACAGCGACCATTGCTATAGTTCCTCGATGATGATGCTCTCTACGACATAAGAGCAAACTAAAAACACTCATTTGACTTTATACATATCAAAATGAATATTTTCTTATATAAATTGAAAAGAAAAACAAAATCTCAAACTGTCAGGAAAAAGATAAAACAGATGTAGTCATCCGATAGAAAGGTGGATAGTAATAGGGTAAAAATAGATTTTTCAAAGTTTTCTTGCATAATGAATGAATTGAATGTAATGAACTGTTCGTCGTTCTATCATCGGAAGATTCTACATGAATGAATATACATGGGATGCTATATTTTGTCTTTACCAGATATCCTCCGTGACACTTGAACAGCAAATCGTCGCGGGAGGTACCTGATAGACATTTCTCTCTAATTATTAAAATAGCTTCAAAGATGCTCACAACATTTCTTTTCCAATCTGAAGAAGAAGAAGAAAAAAGAGACACATTATGAATTTAAACTTGATTTTTGATATTTTAATCTTAATACTCACATCGCTGGGTTCTCTTGCTTTTATTATACTTATTGTATCGATCTTTATTCGTATTCGTCCATTCGCATCAAATGTTGCACTTATTTTAACATGCAATACTTGTGTGGCAGGACTTATGTGTTGTATAGGCCTGCTCGTTATGTATGCCTATACTCTGTATGGTGATCTTTATTCTACTGACACATTGGAAAATGATTGGTGTTTGATTCGCGCTTATCTTCTAGACGTAGTTGCTTGCGCCTTGTATCATTCATATGTTCTTCAAGCTATTTTTCGATTTTGTCGCATTGTCTTTTATCAGAAAAAGAAACTTCAATCACTCGGTGTTTCATGTATTGCGATTATTATACAATGGTTATTAGCATTTCTTTTCATTCTTCCAAATTTTCTCTTACATGATTTTGTGTATCTTCCTAGTGAATATCATTGTCAAGTACCTTTGACAAATTTTCGCGCGCTTCTTATGATGGGATCAATTGTTTATTTTATTCCTATAGGTGTTGTGTCTTTAATGCATATTTATCTTATTCAATTTATTCGTCAATCGTCACAAAGACTACAAAATCGACAAAGACAAAATAAACGAGATTTTATTGTTATTAAAAGAATTTTAAGTCTTCTTATGATTTTTGCTATCATGTGTTTTCCGTCAGTTTTACTTTGGCTCATTAATATAATCACGCATGATCTACCACCGATGTCTCATGATATAGAATGGTTGACTATATCCATTTGTATGAGTATTGTACCTGTTGCTATTGTACTCATCACACCACAAATCAATCGCATGTTCAAGACAAATCGAACACAAGTACATACCATCGCGACAGTAAGAATTGGTCAACATGAAATGACAGACAGGATTCGACCTTTGGCGGAACATAGACTATGAAAATTCCTACACTCACGTGCTTAAACATCAGATTATTCTATTAATAAATCTTGTATCTTTCTAATTTTGCGCTATTGTTTATGACATCTTCATTACTATCAGAAGAATAATCATTTCTCGTTTTTTTGTAATTTTTTAGTGTCATTCATGAAATTAAATTGTCTCTATTTTTTATCACATTTGATTAACATAGTACAACATCCACGCTCACTCTCAAGAGTTATTTTAAATATTTACTGAGAAATTTAAAAAACCATTTTTCATCGTTCTTTTTTTTTTAAAGATTTATTTTTATACTAAGTTTCTATAGCAGTATGTTTGTGTCGTCAACATCATCTCTTAGTTACTATTAGCATATAATTATATGACTCAAAAGAATGACAGAAAGAAAGAAAAGAAAAAAAATGTGAGCCAATTACACAATGCAGAAAAAGAAGTATAAATTGATCGTTACAACCATAATTTTTATTTTGTACTCGCCGAAGTTTTTTTTACGATAAATAATAATTGAAATCAAATGGAAGATGAATTATTATATCGTGGTCGATTTGATCATATAGGAGATCGTAAATTTAATTCCGTACGTTTATTTGTTAGTTCAACATTTACTGGTAAAATGTTAGAAAGTAATATTAAAATATAATAAGTCAGTTTTTATTCTTAGATACAACAGATGAACGAAATGGACTTATTAATCATGTTTATCCTCGATTACGTGAATATTGTCTTAATAGATACAAGATACAATTTCAAGTAATTTCCTACCTAAAAATTCATTTTAATCTTAATTTTATAATTAGTATTCGGATATGCGTTGGGGTATTCAATCAACAGCATCAAATACTCATGCAACAGTTGATATGTGTTTACAAGAACTTGATATTTGTTATCGATTATCCATGGCTACAAATTGTGTGGTAATATTATCTCGTAATTTCTCTTTAATATATTCTTTGCTATTTACAGATTTTATTAAGTCATCGATATGGTAGTCGTTTTGCTCCTGCATGTATACCTTCACGTATATTTCAACATCTTTTATCGAATACTGAAGATAAAACTCTTTTATCTGAAATGTATCGACTGGATGAAAATTATCTTGATCAAAAATATTTTCTTCAACCAGTCGATAAAGATAATAAAGAAAAATGGAATGAATCAGAAAAAAAATTACAAATTATTCTACGAAAAGCAGCTGAACGATGTTATGAACAAAATTTAATAACAAAAGATGAACGAGATGAATTTTATATATCAGGTTTAACAAAAATAAAATTACCCGCATATATAACATTTTATATTTTAGTAACAGCACAAGAAATTTATCGTGCATTATTAA